CCACCATGGCCAACTCCTCATGGTCAACTCACCATGACCAACCCACCATGGCCAACTCCTCATGGTCAACTCACCATGACCAACCCACCATGGCCAACTCACCATGAGCAACTCCTCATGGTCAACTCACCATGACCAACCCACCATGGCCAACTCACCATGAGCAACTCCTCATGGTCAACTCACCATGACCAACCCACCATGGCCAACTCCTCATGGTCAACTCACCATGACCAACCCACTATGGCCAACTCATGGTCAACTCACCATGACCAACCCACCATGGCCAACTCACCATGGTCAACTCACCATGAGCAACTCACCATGGCCAACTCATCACAGCCAACTAACCATAGCCAACTCAATGATGGCCAACTCGCTGTGGGAAAACTCCCTGAGGAACAATTTTAACTTCTATTTAATGAGTTGCAGTAAATAAAAAAAAATATTTTAAAATGTTGCTGTTCCCATTTCATTCCGCCCCTCTTTTTGCCTCGTTTCTTTAATGAGTCTATTCCACCAATTCTTTGATCTTAGTGTAACTCTTCTCCCGTGGCGAATGGTCGTAGACTCCCGGATCCCCCCTTTCTTTGCCCAAACCCACCTCTGAATAAAGCCACCGAGCGGGAGAAGGAGAGCAGGCCGAAGACCAGGACGGTGCCCAGCGCCAACCAGTTGGAGGAGACGGTGTAGTGCTCCAGACGATACCGTTGGAAGACGAAGTGATAACATTTCTGGAGAGGGGGGGAGAGAGGAAAAACATGAGCGCTGGGGAATTCTGGGAGTTGAAGTCCCTAAGTCTTAAAGTTGCCATTGGAGGAGACCCTTGCTCAAAAGTAAGGCCCACTGGGAGGAAACTTCCTCCCCCCCCATCCCTCCTCTCTTGCCCCCTGCCCCACATTGCTCCTGCCCCCAAAGCATACCTGGAGGGCCGAGAGTCCCACCGCACCGCAAAGACAAATCAGGGGGTAGATGGGGTACAGAAACCGCTCCTCTTTGTGGGGCTGGCTGAAGAAAATCAGGATCCAGACGTACATGGGAGAAAGTGTCAGCCAGTAGGGGCGGCCCAGGTTTTGGACTGGAAGAAGGGACAGACCGGGAGAGGGTCAGCAGCAGAAAGGAGGAGGAAGCATGGGAGGGGAGGGGTTTGGTAGAGGTGTAAAATGTCGATTTGCATGGTCTTAATACTTCATTTTTCTATTTGTCTTTGTATAAGCTGTAAACTGGTCGGAGTTGCCTTATAACTATTGAATGAAATAAATAATCTCTATAAAAATGAATATGTGTGTATCCGTGTGTGTGGTTTCCAGCATAACTCCGGAACGCCTGGGCTGCTGAAATGAAAAGGACTGAATTCTATCTATAGTGTCAAGTCACAGTACTTTTTGACAGTGATAGTGTGCATTTCGGATTCACGTTCTGTTAAGATACAGCCTGTTGTACCTTAAAAGGGCTTCTACTGTATAGCACAGTGGAGTTGCCATGGTAACGGCTTCGCAGTACTCCACAAGGGGGCTCCCTCTAATACAGGATTGGGATAAACACATACCCGGGGCAGCCTCTTTCCTGAACCAGGAAGTCGAAGAAGGTCTTCGGTGCTTGGAAGCCTTTGGTCAGAGCAGGCCATCCCGATGCTTCCTCTACGGAAGCAGGGACAAGAGGCCGGGCGAGTCTCTTCCCCACCAGCCAAGGGGTTGAGGTCTACGGGACTCACCACGGAACTTCTGCAGGAGGCTCTCCATCAGGCAGGTCAAGGGCAAGGCCAGCAAGGCCAGGACGAAAGCCACGTTGAAGTTCAGGAAGCCGTTGACGAAGTAGAAGGACCAGGGCTCCGTCCCTGCGAGGAAGGAGGGGAAGAGTCAGCAGCTCCCAGGAGGCCCTATCCCCGTGATGGCGAATCTATGGCACGCACGCCACAGGTGGCACTCAGAGCCCTCTCTGCGGTGCACGCCAGCCATAGCCCCAGGGCAGCTCTACCGCGCGTGCCTCTCACCGGCCAGCTGGTCTTCGGGTCTCTGCCGCACATGCACAGGAGTCCATGCAGGGAGGCGGGTACATGGGTGGGGGCTCCGCATATGCGGGGGGTACTCGCATAGCATTTTGGGGGTTCACGGGCATGCACGCACCCCCCCTGCACCCCTACACCAACCTGGAAGCCAAAAATGGGTGTGGAGGGGGCAGCGTGCGCGGGGTCAGGGCACATGCAAAGAGGGTGTTGCATGTACAGGGGGCACTCCCATTGCACTTTGGGGGTTTGCATGTGCACGCTTTGTTCACGACACCAAAAACGTTAGCCATCAGTCCTCTATCCCATGGGGGAGTTTGTCTGTCTGTCTGATGTCATGGCCTTTTGTAACCACAGCTGACTTCTGACAAGCCAAGTTTCATTTCTGCGGGGAAATGAAACCCGGGGAGGGGGAAGGAAGACTGTGCGATCACCCCACCACCGCCCCCAAAACGCTTCCTCCCGCCCGCAGGTAGACTCACCGTAAAGGTCCGGCCCGTGTGGGGTGAAGACGTTATAGAAGATGATGTTCAGAGGGGCGACCACCAGCTTCCCATAGTGGTAGCTGTCGATGGCCACCATGGGCACCTTCGTCGAGAAACAAGCCACCATTCAGAGCTTCGTCCTCCGCTTTGGACCGTGTCGCGCCCAGCGCTTGGATTCCCGCCCGCTTGGAAAACACCGGGCGGAACGCAGAGGTGCGCTGCTGCCGGTTCAGACTGGTTTGCCGTACGGATAGGTCCAACCGCTACTGGCCCTGCCATCCCCTCCTATAGGTCCCACTCTCTGGCTCGCTCGCCCCGTCCACACGCAGGGGATTTCCACACCCCGCCTGCTCTACTCCCCGCGGGTGTGGACAAGGTGTGCTGGAAGCCGCGTGCATGAAAGCACCGTGGGTTTGAAGCTGCGCGCAAGTGCGGAAGGCGTGCCCATGAGCGAGCAAAGTGCCTGTGCGTGAGCTCACATTTTCGGTTCTACACTAGGCGAACTGGTTGTTACCCAATCTGAAGGCCACCTCAGACAGAAGGGCCACTTAGCTTAGAGCCGAGGTGGCGCAGTGGTTAGGGTGCAGTACTGCAGGCCACTTCAGCTGACTGTTATCTGCAGTTCAGCGGTTCTAATCTCACCGGCTCAGGGTTGACTCAGCC